AATGGGATCATGAACATCTATTTTAAACGTGCAAGCCGGTATGGATTTTGCTGAAATAACAGGGTGGTAGACTCATCGAGACAAAGCTAAATTCTACCTTTGATTTAATATGTAAAGACTACATGATAATAGAATGGTAAATGGCCTGTACTTATATAGTGTTTTTTAAAGTCAGGGGACTTGACCAAAGCGCTTTAAACTACATTCAGTCATTCACCCATTCATGCACACATTGATAGTGGCACAATACATTGTAGCCACAGCTGCCCTGGGGCTCACTGACAGAAGCAAGGCAGCTGTACACTGGTAGAGTCCCGGGTCCTCTGACCACCATCAGTAGGCAATGTGGGTGAAGTGTTTCGCGCAATAGCATCCCAAAGTAAGAGCCATTTTAAGCCCAAAAGAGCTAATCGATGAACGTCTTGGCTTCTGCTAGATCAATCATGTCCACTGGGAGCCGGAGCCATGGTTTGAACTGACATTTCTCCGGTTGCAGGGCAAACTCCTTAATCCGACTCCACTGTTGCCTCATCATGAACATCATCTATGAGAGAACATCATGTGTTTGAGTTGTGTAACTTTTTCAGTTAAGTGGGTCTTTTTTTGTGGTAGTTTTATGCTTCCTATGTTGGCTTTATGTGACTTGGTTTTTAATCTGAATATCTCAATGTTATTCTCAGCTAAATAGATTTGCTTGCACAATCGACATAAGTTCTTGGAATCTCTTCTTTCCACTCAGCTGCAAACTTTTCTCTGAATAGTCTTTATGGGAAGATGTGTAAACCCATTTTTAGCAGAAACACGGTGTAGGCAGAATACAACTGCTTTGACCAAATCTTATGCACCAACAATTTTCCATGAAACCTTTTCTTTTTTTAACAGCTGTTTTGAAAGTGAGTACATAAAGGGGATTGCAGTTGAATGCATTACATTTTTAAAACACTCACTTTAACATGGGAAAAACTGACCCTTTCTCTGTGAGCACTTCTTTGCTTTTGAATAACTCTTTGGAGCCTTTATTTATCTCCACCAGCAGAAATTTGAAAGAACACCGAGCATCGGGAGAGAAGCCGAAAATTGTAAATATTAGAGTAACACTGCTGAAATCTTACACAATAAAAAAGAAAATAAGTGGTATTCAAAAAATGATCAGGTTGGTGTAAAAAGTATTTGTACAAAAAGGCAATTTTTTCATGCAGCAGCAGGAAAGTTTTTTTCTTTTTAAATACTGACAGATTTCCGAGTTTCTTGCAATATTTTTATATTTATCCCAAGTCATTCAAACTTAATTAGAGGACTAATTTGCTTGAATTTCTTTTTGTAGGTATAATTTGGGTTGCTGTTGCTTTAATCCTGTGGGAATGTTATGTCAATAGCCTCCGCTAACAAAACCGACAAGACAGTGGATGCTGAAGCACATATTGCGAAGAGGTCGGCAACTCTCTGTAGAGTGAATCACTACACACTTTGAAATGTTATGTGGTGTTCAGATTAGCTCAAGAAAAATAATAGTGTGCAGAGATCTTAATGGAAAGTCTCCATGGTTGAGCACTGCAGCTTCATCCAAGCCATACATCACCAAATTCGATAGAAAGCGTTGGATGCAGTGGTATAAAGCATGTCTCCGCTGGAATTCAGAGTGCTAGAAGTTTCTCACTCTGGAAATCTAGCGGGTTTGGCGGTTGCCAGGAGAATAGTACTTGTCTGACTGCTTTGTACCAAGTGTAAAGTTTGGTGGAGGCGGGAATATGGCGTGGGGTTGTTTTTCAGGAGCAGGGTTTGGCCCCTCACTTCCAGTGAAAGGAACACTGAATGCTTCAGGATACCAAGGCATTTTGGACAATAGGCATCTCCACTAATTCCTGAACCTAAAGCAGCTTCTTTGTTTCCTCGTCTTTCATTACTGATTGATTAATCCAGGTGTCTCTAGCCATTTTTGTCATGGTTACTGAGACCAGGCACACCTGGATTGATCAGTTCATCAAGTAGAGAAAATAAAAAGCCCCCTGTAGTTCAGGAAGTAAAGGAGTTGTGCATAGAGCCCATACTGCGATCTCAACTTTGTGGGAACAGTTTGGAGCTGGTCCCTTCCTCTTCTAACATGACTGTGCATAAGACCACAACGTAAGGTCAATCGATAGCAGAGTCTGGTGTGGATGAACTTGACTGGTCTGCACAGAGCTCTGACCTTTGGGCTTAATTGAGTTGAAGCTGTTCTACCAGCAAAGGGTGGTAGAACCGCTATGGATTAGGAAGTTATTTAAATGAGAGAAGACAGCAGAGCAAATATTTTTGGCAACATAGTTTTGCTTATCAGTTCTATAGAAATACTTAAAGCACACAACCTTTAAACCAAATTGCTTTTATTCAAAAAAATGTCCAAAAAAAATAACAGAATAAACCATGAGCAACAGATGTAGAGAAGAAAATAAATTTTAGCCACAAGACACATTTAGTAAAACAGAAACACAGAAAAAAAGTTCATTGAACTGTACATATATGTTACCTTTGGCAGAAATAAAAAAGCAACCTTTGTACAGCTCTGTGAAAATCTCGTATTTCCTCAATCTGTCTATACAAAACTCTTCATAAGTTAGAACAATTTCATATAACTTAATGGATGTTTAATATGGTGGTTACTATTATGAGCTTTTTTTCCCTTAAGCACCTTTTTAGCTCTTGACCCATACTATGGCACTTGGTTCAGACACCACTAGCAGCATAAACCTCACTAAGACAGTATTTTTCATCAGTCTCAGGCATTACATAGAAAATCTCAAGTATTACCATAGTTGGCCCTTGACATTTGTTTCAGATCCAGGCAAATTACAGGGGCAATACTTTATATTAAAAGACTAAACCTGTTTTTGTTTTTTCACAACAATGCAATTTTTTATTTTTTGGTCTAAAACAATTTCTGTTGCACTCCAGAGTTCCAAGTTGCCATAATAAAGATGCCAACATGAGCCGTGAAATCATCGCTTTAGAAAACTAGTGACCCCAAGCTGTCGCTCTCCTGCAGTTCCCACCAAGTCATTTTTTTTGGAACATCATCGCCCTTGCTTTTCTTACTTCTAGCCGTTTTAAAGTCTTAATAATTTCTTACTTTTTATATGGGAAAGTTGAATTGGGAAGCCATTTTCCTTTTTAGGAGTTCCTTTCTGATTTTTGTTTTTATTGATTAAAAGTTACACACACAAAAAAAAAAAGTTAAGCATCTATCATATTTGGAAATGTGCCTAAAAGAGACACCATGTACTCATTAAAAGTTCTTGTATACATTGGGGGGAGTCAATAATTGTGGCAGTGGCAAAAAACAAAAACAACAACTTTGTCTTGGGCCGCTGACTCAACTGCTCCCCAAAAGACAGAATCAGTGTCAGAAGCACTGCAAAAACTTATTAAAAAGATTAATAGATTTTTAAGAAGGGCAGCAATATCTGTTGAGATTGCTCTAACTCAATCCCTGGAATCTTATACGTATAAGAAGGCTCTAAAAATAAAATGCAGCTGTCCTCTTATTTGATTCTAACTATGCAGTCATACACAAATAACAGGAAAAGTAAACACCTGTATGCAGCCAGCTCCTGAGTTTGGAGTTTGGTCTGGAAGGACGGGCTGGACCTGCTAACCCGACCGGATGCAGAGGAGAAAGCAAACTCTGAGGTAGATCACTGGTCCGGCTGGCGACCAGTTCAAATCACAGGCTTTGAGGATCAAACTTTAAGCAGAACACTTGCTTACATCCACTGACTTTAAATACAACTATTTCCTTTTAAAATACAGTGTTGTATTTGTTTATTTGTTGGAGCATTTTTTATTTTAATTAAACATTTTCCATTTGTTTCTGTAATAAAAATCTGCTGGCACACCACCGCATGTGTTTGTGTTCATACACTGTAAAAACGATCTAGAAATAAGTAAAGATTTCTTAAATTAAGTGTTTTTACCCTTAATTTAGTCAGGTTAAAAGATGATTTGCCAATGGAATGAGATTTAAAATAAGATAATTAGATAATTTGCACTTGAAATAAGACGATGCAATTTTTTTTTCTTTCCTCAATTCTAATCTTTATGAAAGGCACAGTGTCCAAACTGTAGTCTAGTTTGAATCCCTCAAACCCTGGTTAAAAAGACAAATCTTACAGTCATTGATTGAAGAAACAAAACATAAAATGATTTAGTTTGTTTCCTAACAAAGAGCAAGGCGTTATAAATCAGAATATCCAGCCAACTCATTTTAGTGGTTTTTTTGTAAGGCTTTGATTGTTCTTTCACTATAATGTCTGTTTTCTTTTCATTAAAAAAAGAACGGAAATTATACTTTTGCCGTTAAGAATGACAACTATCACCTAAAAAAATACATTTATTCGGTCCAAATTCTTTACCCTGCCAAGTTTAATTTAAACTACCAAAAATATACCATGATAAAAAGCTAGAAAATGTCACAAGAGAGTTTTAACATCCATGCAATTTAAGGCCTTAAGCTATAAAATAAATATTACTTTCAAAAAAATAATTACATGTAGTCAGTTGATTCAAGCCATTTGTTCGGATATTTTTATACCTTTACATTGGGCCTAGGAGGGGAGAGCCAGTCTCTGTATTTTCCTTTTGTCTCCAATTTACTACTACTTCTGACTCTGGGCAGCCATGTCAAAGCAATGGAGGAAAATTCAAAGAGAAGTTGCTTGAAAGAGAAAACAACACTAAACACTTCAGTTTAGCAACACACACACAGCATGCACAACGCATTTTCAAAATGTCTTTTAGAGAAACCCAGGAAAAAAAAAGTTAAAATAAAAAGTATTTACAATCTTGGAATTTACATGAATGGAAACGAGAGTCTTTTGCATCCTGTGAGAAACCCCAGTAAAAACATAAAAAAAACAACAACACAATCTTATATGAAAATAAAACTCTCAATAAAATATGAATCTTTTGATAATTTCAGATAAACTCTGAAGGTATAGGAAGAGAAAAAAAAAAAAAAAAAGAAACAGGAAAAAAATAAAATCTTTAGCGTCCACTGGGTTTAGAGATATGATTGCTTCTGCTCACGTCAAAATGTTACCAAAGCACTACTTGGTCTGCTGGTAGGAATACGGGGAGTGACTGTCGGATGAGTCCACTTGAGTCTGGACACCATTTTCCTGGAACACACCATGAGATCAACTTTAGCCTTGAGGTTTTTGTCTTACAAGAGAAAACTGCATCGTCTCAAATTCACCCACCTCAGCAGGGACAGCTGCTGGCTGCATGTGTGTGTACTGTTGGATATAAGTTCCTTGCATAGCTGTGTTGGCAGCCATGAACTGCAAATATGAGAAACAAACACGTAGAATATTTTCATGGTTAATAAGAGCTAACAGTAAGTCAACAAACTATCTTTTTGGGTCCTTTTATGTCTATGATCTGAAAAATGAGGCTGAAACTGTGGAACTGGACATATCTTTACAATGAAATAAAAAAAAATACGGTCGTTCATGGATTGGATCCTCCAAAAATTGAAATACTGATGTAAATTTATGTTCCTGATGAAAAAGCCCATAATCATCAATTATTAGGCTATTTAAAACAAAGCATTAAACATTGTGTACATACAAAACTAACAGGAGAACAACACCTGCTGTAAGCTTTGACTGCACACAATTAGTTGCAGCATTTTCAATTGAATTATAAACCAGTCACGAAAAAGAGGGAATTACACAAACCTTAAAAATCAGTTTCACACCTTTTAGCTCTAAGTTTGAGGTCCACTGATCTATTACTTTTTAGAAATGAATCACATACTTTTTCAAAGCTTTTTCTATTAAATAAGTGCAAGCTCATCTCTGAACCCATCTCTTACCGCTCCTGAACCGCCTAGAGACAGGTGACCCATCTGCTGAGTAAGAGGGCTCATCATTGAAGTAGGCTGCAGTGACACAGATGGGTCTATAGATGGCGATATCACCGCACCCTGCAGAAACAGGAGGATGGCAGAGAAAAGCATTTTTTAGTCCCAAAATGTCTAATAAATACATTTTACTCTGCATCTTAGATGCTTAGAGAATCCTTTTTTGATGATAATGACAGTTATGCAAATAAAAATACATTAACCTGTTTTTCTAGATGAACGTTACATCAGAGCTTTGTAGGGAGTGAATATGTAAAAGTGAAATCTGAGTATGCCTGTGCTCACAGCTGACAGAGCTGTCTGTGAGCATCTTGGCTGGCCTGATTCCTCAGACAGTGTTTTCTCATCTGCTGGCTAATTACCAAACCTGGAAAAAAAAAAACAGCTCTTCTCTCAATTTAGAGCCATCTGTTGTAAAATATTAAGCATCTGTCATTAAATGCACTTATCTATAAAGACTCTCCAAAGGAAGTTGTTTTCACATTCCTGCACAGACGGTTTACCATTTTAGCTTCACCTTTTGCCTAATCTTCCACGTATGTTTTCAGAAAAATGTTCCGGTTTTGTTACAACAACAGAGGGAAATGCATTAGAGGAGTGATCGGGGGAAACCGGGATATAAATGCTCTTACAGGATGCTGCATGATGTAGGGTTGATGGGACATCCAGGAAGGGTTCTGCACCTGAAAAAAATATATAAATATGAATAAAACAAAATAATAAACACATTTTTTTTCTTTCATTACCACAGTAAATATGCTATATCTAATGATTACATGCTATTGCCAACAATGCGGAAGGATAAAAGGTCACGTTGCCCTCTGTCTTTCTCCTGATATAGCACACTGAAATGTGAACTTCTATAAAGAGCTGCAAAGACAAAACAAACCTGATATGTTGAAACTGGAGACATGTATGGAGACATGGACGTTTGAGCGATCATTCGGCTAGAAATACTGTATGGAGCTGGAAAAAAGCTATGAACAGAGAAGCACATGCATTTGGAAATGGAAATGGTTGACTTCAGTTAGGTGCAGTCATTGCAACTATGCGCTTTAATCTATGCTTACCCATTTTGCATAGCAGCTGTGTTGGGGTCGTATGTCAGCGTCATTCCAGCCTGACACAAAAGAAGTCACAAGATTAGCATCTTCAACTAAGCTAGTAGCCTCCAGCAAGACAAATGAGGGTACGGTGGATGGATTAATGGATGAATAGATAGTTGGATGGACAAACAGGTTCATAGATAAACCCATGGAAAACTGGATGGACGGATAAATGGAAGAAACGAGTAATGGACTGACACATGGACCAATATACTTCGGGAAAATTGCATAGGGAATTAAGTACAATAAATAATTGTCATACTTTTGTTTTCTTTCTAAATATCTATCGAAACAGGAAAACACTTCAGAGTCCAACTCAAAGTTTATCAGAAGTAACTTATCATCAGTCCAGACAGCTGAACTGACATTAGCCTGTTGGTTTAGGTATTAGCATCTAATAAAAGGGAAACAACAGCAAAGCAATTTGATCAAATCATGTTGAAGGAATGTCCTGAGCAAGGCAGTCAAGCAGGACTGGGGACAGTAAAAGCTGTTCTCAGAAACACCTGCTGACTGGACTGAACCCACATAACCGGAAACGTGACTTGTTTGACTGCATGCCTTTGGTTAATCAGACTTATCATATACTGTATCTGCAGGTTAAATAACAAGGCCAAATGGAAAATTCGGTTACCAGGAGACTATTCATAGACTCATTGCATTGAGGTAAATGATAATTACAGCAAATGTGAAACAAATTCACATTCTCATCAAAATTCATTAGAAGGCTTGCAAAATATATTTTATTGTATTTTTAAAATCCCTTTAAAGTCAGAAAGGCTTTAATAAGTGAATATGCCTTTTCAAGCTCACTGCTACATTATCTATGAATTAAAAAACAACTGATCAGGACTTGAACTTTGCTAGTTATGTTTCCTGAGCCCCGACTCACCAATCTGGAATCCAAGTCTCTTCCCCAGGCTCGACCATTCTGGCCAAATTTATGATGACTTTGTCTCTTTTTCTGTCCTCCATCAGCAAACTTGCACAACAGTGGCTCAGATGGTCCTAAAGAAGGAGGGAGTTGTAAGGACTGTGTAATAAAGGACCCTTTTTTATTACATAGCACTGCCACAACACATATCATATTCTGGTGTATGTCAATCCTTTCTATCCAGCCTTTTAACCCATGAAGGGAGGGATTATAGGTTTATTAAGTAGCCTGGGAACTGAGACATATAATTTAGCAGGTGTGGAGATGTAATCTCCTACCCTTCCTGAAGGAGGCTTGGCTAGCAAAGACTATTTCAGTCTAATAATCCAATTAAAAAGCTTGGAGAGGTAGTGGTAGCTGCTTTCACTTTTGTCTTTGCTCTGCACTCTGAGCTGAGTGCTTACAAGCTGCTTACCACCAGACAGACTGACTCCTTCTGGATGCATTAATCATGTGACTTGCCACAGATAAAGCTCCACCCAGTAAAGAGAGGCTACAGCCATAAAATATGAAACCTATTTCAATCTTATAGATATATAGAACAGCAAGGTAGAATAACTAACATTGTAACAGCGGTGTGGGCCTTGTAACAATCCTTCACTATTCTCTTACCTGGAACACCTGCAGGTGTTTTGATAAACTTTCCATTAAAGTGAGAAATTACTGCTTCACATTTTTCAGTTGACTCCAACCTGCACACAGAGAAAGCAAACGAAGTATACCATATTAGCAAATAACTCGAGTAACAAGAGCAGCTCAGGTGCTTTCCTAAAACAGTTTCCTGTGCAGCTTGGTGGAAGTGCTGCTGTACCATTAAATACAGCTAAAATCATGACTTATGGAGTGCAAAAGTGCGTAGTCTTAAGGGCATTTTATCCAAACACACCTACAGGAACACACCCAGCTACAACAATTCCAACAAAAGCACAATAAGTTTTGCTTTTAAAATTGTGATCTAGGCTTTGTCTGTCCAGCCATTCAAATGTCAGGTTGTACAAGTACGACTGGTGAAAGCCAAAAATTATATGCAGTAATTAAGTCTTACAATCACTCTAAAACTATTTTTAAAGGGAGTTTCTAGTTGTACATACATTTACATCTCAATCTGTTTCTGTTTAATGCTTGTGAAAGTGAGACTCCTACTTGTCTGTTTTCCTGGTTCTAGTACTGTGTGTGCAGCAATGAGCTCTTCCTGTTTACTGGTTAAAAAAAAGAACAACTTTTGACCTTAAAGAAATGTCAGATATATTCTGTGGAAATTATTACATGCAGATCGAATGACGGAAGAAGTTTCAGTAATCAAAGGTAGCTAAAGTATTTAAATCCCTCCAAGTTGTACCTTTTACAGATCACTAACTGAGGTTTATACTGTTGGGAATATTTATGACAAAGCAACACATATAAGGGGATAACTTTAAAGAGGAAAAAATAATACATCTTTTAAAAATATTTCTATATAAAAATCTGAAAGGTGTGGCCTGCTTTTGTATATAGCGCACTTGAGTTCAATATCTTGTGACACCATGTTCTGCTGAGACAAGAGCTGCGAATCTTTTGCGTTACATTTGTACCTGCTTTGCACATCTAGTGGCAGAAACTGCTTGTCCTTGTGTTGCAAAATAGTTAACACTTCATTCAGCTTTCGTCAAGTTTGTCCAGCTTCTCGGTTTTTACTGAAGACAGACATCCCGACTTCATGATCCTGTCAATGCTGCATTATTAAGAGGAAATGGTGGATTCACCCTGAAAGGAAGTGACTTTTTCCTTTAATTGCAGTGTCTCTCTGTCAAAGGCTTTCTCTCACATTTAATGTGTCTCTCTATGGCTTCCGTTCAACGGTGGTTTAATTTTGCAACTCTTCAACAAAGAACAGATTTGTTAAGCGCAAAATTAAAACCCTGTCTTTTAGGCTACGTTCACACTGCAGCCTGAAGTGACCCAAATCCGATTTTTTGCCCATATACGACCTCAATCTGATCTTTTCATGGCACTCTGAACAACACATATCCGATTTTTTCCTATGCGACCCAGGCCACTTGGCTATGTGGTCCTGAATCCAATACGAATCTGATCTTTTCAAATGCGACCTGTGTGTGAACAGCCAGGTCGGATTCATCCGACCTGAACGTCATTAATACCCGACAGTGGTCACTATTATGCGTCTTGCTACGCAGAAGCGACAAGCAAAACAACAACCATGGCAGATGATGGTGCAGACAGCAGTATTTATGTTTAACCATATTGAAAAGATTGTGTTTTTATGGTTGGAAAAGACCGCCTGATGCACACAGGGACTACCATCCATGTTTACTTCCTGAAAAAAGAGCACGCTGGCCTGTGACATCATTGCGTCCTCTACTGTGCATGTGGGACACTTGCATTGTATGACTGCAGTCTACACAGGAGATCACATACAAGTCGCATATATTTGGAAATGTGAATGGCAACGTAAAAAAATCGAATTTCGCCTTAACTCCTTAAAAGTTCCAGTGAGTCGGTGTGGTAGTCGGGAATACCTGACTCGAGACTAAGACCAAGGCCAAGATAAAACCAAAAAGAAAACATTTTTTAGGAAGTTGGTGTAAAAATAACAATAATAGGGTTCTTGCTGCAAATGCTCATGGAAAATCTCATTAGAAAGCTAATTATTATCAACTCCAGACTAAATGTTTGAGCTTAGCTTTTAATGTTAGGTGCACTGCCACAATGCGTATAAGGACCTGTATGGTAGAGGAAAGTCAAATACATGCCTAAATGAAGGTAGTCCTCATCAGACAAGGCAGTCAAACAGACAAATCTGAAGAGAACATACAAATGGCTAAACATTAACTAACCTAGCAATAGGTGAAGCCAGGGTGAGGGGAGGCCCAAGCAAGGAACTGAACTCGGTTAGTGAATGTTCTTTCTCTGTGCTGTTCAAACAGAAACACTGAAAAAGGTTTCTCCCTCTCCTCTCACCGGCAGCCCATAGAGACATCACTGGCACTGTTATCATTTTCTACGTTAAAAAAAAACTTTTATTGGATCCAATTGAATTCAGACTGAATTTTAACGCTTAGTTGTTGATAAAATAATGTTCTGCAGCTGTATACTGCTCATGTCAGGCAAGTCCAAGAGCAAGAAAAGACTTTGGTTACTATGAGCCTTCTCTCTGTTTCTCTGATTAATTCCTGTCATTTTAGTATTTTTTTAAATAAAATGTGTTTAACCTAACCCAGCTTTTTAGTTTTCCCTAATTGTACCTCTGGTCTCCATTGTCCACATGATGCTGTTTACCCAACAAGCCTCTGAGGCATTGAGAGAGCTACTGGATTACACAAATAAACGTTGTGACTTCTGAAGGCCATCCATTGGCTTTTATTTTGGGGTCTAGCACCAAATAAATATCAGTACACAAAAAAGCAGGTTTATAGAGTTTTATGTTCAATCTAACATATATAATAGCAGATATACAACCTTGCAAAGCCCACTCCTCTGCTGACTCCATTGGGGTCCCTTAAAATGCGAGTGGATATAACTTGGCCAAAGTGCTTCAACATATTCTCCAGCTCCTGCTCATCCATAGACAAAGGCAAGTTGGAGATGTAAAGGTTCGTTGGATCCTGTTCCTGTTGCTGCATGATTAAAAAGGGGGGAAAGAGACAGATTAATGAAACAGAAAATGAGAAACTTGGGTACTTGTGCAAAAGAAGGGAATTTCACTTTAAATGTTTTTAAATTTAGAACCTCTCCATTTTGGGTTTCTTCATGCATTGCTTATCTAAAAGTGTTGCCACTGTTATTGTTAGGGGTTTATGTGGGAAAGGTCAGTGGGATAAAAAGATCTGTACGTGCAGCCAACTGTGGATGGAGCTTCGGTTCAGCTGACTTCCTGCTTTATTTTTTTTAACACCATCAGCAGAAATATGAGACACAGCTATAGGTCCTTATAAAGAAGTAGTCTCTTTTAACTAGTTGTTAGAGGCACTTGGATCTTGACAAGATACTTTTGTTCTTATTTTAAAAGATAATATAACAAAAATATCTCATTCAACAATTAGCAGTCAAAAGTGTTTGATAGAAGGAATTATGAGGAATGCATGTATGATTTCCCTGCATGTTAATAGAAACATAACCTTAGTTAGATATGCAAGTTAGATATTTATGGCTTTTAGAATTTTCATCTTTGCCAAGAAATTGGCTGTTCTCAGAAGAGCTACTGGGGAACATTAACAACACTCCTCTTTAGTGTTGTAGTGGTAAAAAGGGTAAAGGTTACCCATTTTCAGTATTGCAAAGGTCTTAAAAAAAAAGGTTAAAGTTCAGAAAATATGAAAAGTTATTTCAAGTAGAACTTTCTTTTCTATGAGAACATAATGGATTAGGCTGCTAATAAAGTCTAGAGTCTTAAAATAAACCGATACAGGGAACTCCAGCATTTTCTGCTCTTTTTTAAAAGTTAGTTAGGAAAAAAAGAAGCAATCTAGTGCTATTTTGTAGATGTTTAGAGGTGAGGGGATCAAAATGAGCCTAAACTCAACGTTTAACACAAAGGTTGGTCTCTTTTATCCTATTTTACTTCCAACCAGTGTAGCAGGGAACATGCTGAATCTAGACATGATAGTAGTTTGAATGAAATCACAGTATACCCTGCCGCTCACTAATACAGATCCAAAAAAATAATGTTTTAGTTAGTTTTACAACAACTGCTCTGCTTTCTGCTGCTTCCACTACAAATAATGAATTAAGGCTTACAGCAGTAACGCTAAAAACATATATGTTTAATGAATGCTCCTTGTAAATGATAAATACTGTAAAATCACAAATAAACTCTTTAGGTGCATCTTTGTTAAAATCAGCTGTAACGTTGTTGATGACCCTGCTATTAAAAAGAAAGTTCTGCTTTCTAGATATATGAATGGTCTCACAGAGAGTCCCCACTTATCTCTGGAAAAGTGATGCATGAACAACCCTACTGAAGGATTGATTGATTGTCTTTATTGATCTCACAGTGATGACTTGGTGGATTGAAAAAACAAAAACAAAAACAAAACATAAAGGGCTCAAACTTCTCAGTAGTAAAATTAAAATATGTAATATAGATTCCATATATTACAACAAAATGGCTAAGTTTTTATCTTTCGATGCCTGATAGATACAGAGACTACAAAATGAGGTAACCGGTGTTTTTTTCTTAGTTGATGCTATGAAGGGAGCTGATTTCCCCCTACTTGTTCCTGTTGCTATAACAACACACATATATTTACTTCCCTTTGAGAAAGGTTATGTTAGAGCCGTTCTCATACTCCTAACCCCATACTGTCATTAATAAAACTTGAAAAACACATAATAAAACTAAATCGGCTCTTGAGCAGATTTGGACAATTTTTCTCCTGAAAACAACTCTACAAATAAACTTCTTGAGATAAACAGAAAAGGCTGAGGCTTTTTTTGTAATAAACTAGATCCCAGTTAATACACATATTCAGACTAAATGAGCTCATCTTGTAATATTACCACTAATCAGTGGCGCCAATGATGGACCCTTGAACTTCACAAAGAAACATCAGCTGTACTTATTCAGGTTAGTGAAGGGACGACTGTCCATGTCTAAATAAAGGTAGTCCTCATCAAATTAAATATAGCTCATTAGTTGCAACACACACACACACACACACACACAAACAGAGCTTATCATTCTCCTGCAAGATTCAGCTGTAAAGCATTGATTAAATATGTGAAGACATTTGTCCATAAAGCATACAGTTAAGAAATCATATGTTGCTGATTTTCCCCACAAAGACTCCCTCATCCTATAGTTGATGGCAGCATTGCTGAGCAGCTCGCATGTATCAGATATCCAGATGAATCTGTCATAAGCTTACCTTGGCCATCTGGGCCTGGACACCAGACGTCTTTAGGGCTGCCACGGCTTTCTGGGCTGCAGCAGGACTATCAAAGTCCACAAAACCGTATCCTGAGGAGATTAGATGGACAGTTAGGATGCCGTTTGATATCTTGCACATTGAACCGCAGAACTACTTCTGTGTTTCCCCTCTTTGTGTTTGGTAGCAACGAAATCTCAAATACATAGCTCACATGTGTGTTATATTAATATTCCCTCTTTGGTCTCTGACTTTTTAATATTTTATCAAGTCAAAAATTTCCTTTGCAATTTATGCAAAATTCTCAAATGAAGTAGAACATAAATGGGTCCATGATAATCCAATTAATATGTAAAAGATGCAGTTCACAAATTATTTAAGCTCTTTTCACACAGATACCCCAATAGAAAATAGAGTTTAACCGACTGCTCTCAGCAGATTTATTATGCTTGGTGCTTTGCCTCACAGTCATGAGGCAAACATGAACATGGGATGAAAGATGGATGGCAAACAGAATTAGATCATTTAAGACTATAGATGGGGATGCATGTTATGTCATGGGGACCCAGAAACAAGAGTGGAATAACAGCAAACATAGTTCACGTTTCGCATGGCGGCAACCAGTATAACACAGGGAGATGTTAGCCTTACTTTGTTTTGTTGCAGGAAAGAGTTGAACAAGAGTTGAAGCAAAGATGGTATCTCAAATCACTCAAAGCAATGTTTTTTCCCCTTTCAGGACTGCCCCAGAAATGAAGAAGTCATATGAGCCACCAACAAACTGCTGCAAGCCCTGCAAACCCTGCATTGTTTCCCCAAAAAATCTCCCCAACCACTGCCCCAACTCAACACATCCAAATCTGCTAACTTCACTTCCAAACGCCCCAGCTAACCACCACTGTCATAGTAGAAAAATCTGGCTTCGATTGAAGCAATGTTAAGATAGTTTATTTCGCTGTTTTATTATTTTTTTTTCAATGCTGCCTAATAAGCTGAGCTACACCTTTGAATTATTGAGCCCTAAGCCCATTTTTCACAAAATGACATGCTCTGATCAAAGTGACTATATCTTTGCAACCACAAGGCCTATTTGAATAAATTTGGTGTCAAATTTAAGAAAACTCTTAAACGGTGATGTGTAAATATTAGTATATGTGTTAATGATGAAGAGTAAGTAAAGATGGCACAGCAAAATTTCAAATCTAGCCTGAAAACAATAAAACACATTTTTAGCATCAGGAACTATCTGACATGATGTTTTGGAAGCTATTACTCTCTTTCAAACTAACGTACAAACATGTTAACACTGGTTTTGCAAAGATCTCCAATTCTAAAGTGAAGCTAAACAGAATTACAGAGGTGTTTTTCACAAAAAAAGTTCAGGTAAGGTTGCCAAAATGGCCATTTGGCACAGTTGGCACCATCTGTGCCATCTGCATTTTCTCATGAAGAAAATGTTATTTTTTATTTTTAGATCACTAATAATGTTGAATAGAGTTGAATACAAACATTTTGGCCAACTATTTAAACATTCAACCACACAAACACATCTGCGCCCTCGCATTTTCATACTACCATGCTGTGTATGGTTCCAGGGGGATAACTCTGCCACAGATTGGTTGAGTTGGAAGAATCATACGTCAATCCAATCTTTAGAGCCAGTAGACTGTATCTAGACTAAAGTGGGTAAGATTGACAAAAGTTTCAGCCAATCAGAGCCAAGCGAAGGCAGCCTGTTAGCTTTATCAGGCACCTGGATTGGTGGCTTGCAAAGACTACTGAATGCTCAAGACATGTGGATATGCCATAAGTTTGTTTTTCTGTTGCAATAGAGATCGCTTTCAACGAAGCATGTGTGGATTCACCAGTAAAACTTTGTTTTTGCAGAGAAACAGCAAAGTTAAGAGATATTTTAAATAATTTTATAAAACTAGTTTCTGGCTAAGCGGTTTTAATCTCTTGCTGCTTATTGGCTTGTATCTCTGCAATGCTTTGGTTCATAGGAGATTGGAGAACATGACTCGACTCTACGAAGTCTCTTATTTCAATTGATGTGCATTTTTTGAATGGTTTTATTGTGGGTTGTGGCTGTGGAGACAGAAATGTAGTTCATGGGTTGCTAATGTGCCATGTACTGTTCTTTACACTTAATTAATTTCAGTATAATGTTTGTTTAGCTTTGCAAGTTTTACAAAGGCTTGTGCTGGCTTGTAGCCTAGATTCTACAGTTTAATTTGATATGATACATTGCTATATTGGTTGTCATTAATGCATCGTTTATCACTATTGTTGATGAGTAACAATGATGCGGTATCTTAAAAGGTACCCCTTGGTTTCAAAGGGTTAAACCTGATGTTAATATTTTGGCTTAGGTTTGTAAAAGTATGACATCTTTATTTCAATAAGTTTTTAATTACTGAATTAATAAAATGCTAAACTATGACAAAAGATAGTCATCTTAAAATAGCTCCCTTGTGTTCCAATAGCCGCTATTGCTAAAAGCATTTAGAATCAATCATTTAAATACGGTAATCAATGGTTTCTGATTAGGCATCCTGCAAAATTAGACTCTATTAAGTCTAGATTAGTTCTAGATTCTTCTAGATCCAATCTAAAGTCTAGATTAGCTTTAAATGCTATAGCTACATTTTTTTCATCAAAATGATTAATTAAAAATAATCAAAACAAATCCCCAGAAACGGAAGCAGAATCAAAGAAAAATATATAATATAAAAATAATTTTTTATTCATTTTGATGGATACAAAATATGTACATTTTACAACTGGTTATGATGAATAAGTTGATACAAAACGATTCTGCATTATTAGGAATAGTAGATTATATTCTTGTGAGTCTGAGCTCAGGCATTGCCAGACAGTATAATGTCTGCATTATCTCTTAGATATAGCTTTGGTTATAGCTATGGAACTATTTGTACAAAGCTCATTAGTTTCTTGCATCATATCTATTTTTGCTGTATAGCTTTTGTTGAGTTTATCTAGCCAAGTTAAGATTTGAGAATTGAAATAAATTTAACTTGGAGTTTAATTATTTTTGCTAATAGTTTCTTATATTTTGAATGTGAATGTGCAGATTGAGCTATTTTGACAATACCAGGTCTCTTTTATTCATTATCCTAACACCACAACCTTTTGGGTTACAATGAACTCTAGGAGAAATTACCGAAGAAGTCACTGTGGTCAGATGAGATCAACCTGAAAACTCACCGCCCACACAGTGAAAAAAGGAAGCTGTCTAGAGTTGATGAGATGGTTAATAGAGTTAAATACAGGATAGTGACTGCAGAGGAGTTGAGGGAAGGGGTGGAGGTTCCCCTTCCAGTAAGGCAACAATCCTAAAGACACAGGCAGAACAGCAGTGGAAGGACATATTCATGAATAAGAATGGCCCACTGAAAGTAAGATCAAAATTCAAAAGAGATTATGTTGCAAATCCTCTATAAATTTCCATTTACAGAGACTTTATCCTGGTTGAACTACTCTCTATAGAAGACTAGTCCAGATCTGTCTTTAGATGTGTGATGCTAGCAGAAAGATGCCCCAAGAAATGAAGGGTGTCTCTGTAAGATATTACTAAGGTAGCTAAATTCAAAACGGCTCACACTTTTAAATGCGTATTAACATACAGGTTACGGTTCTGTGTGTGTGGGGTGGGGGTGGGGGCTTCGTGTGTGAGTTAGTGATGTGTTTGTTTGGCTGAAAGAAAAAAAAAACAGCTGAGGATGCAGATACTGCTGGCTCAGGTCAGCTCTTTGTCCTGTGGGGTGCAAACAGGGTGCACCTACACACTTTGTCCTCCGCTGCTTGTTTTATGTAACATTAATTAAAATCAATTGTGAGAAATGCAACGGGTTCTCCCGGCTGAGTCCAAGTGCAAACTATTCCTCTACATTTCACTTTAAGCTTTGCTATGGTTAATACTAGAAGTCTTCAAAACATTATCGCAACTACACCAGGAAATGTAGTAAAATTATAAGACACACTAAAATTCAAGATATCTTAATCTGTATCACCAAATCTACGCCTTCCTCAAAGTGACAAAGCCAATATGTCCTTTTTAATTTGCATGACCGGCTACCAGAATTGGACAAACTCAACTAAGTTTTACAGCAGGGCAAATGGAAATGCTAGGAAGCAGAGTGGTGGTCTAAAATAACATGATCCATCAACAGCTGTAACCACAGCTCTGATACTTTGGTGAAATATTCCCACTGGATTATCTTTAATGTTCTGGATTTTAAAGAGACTGAAGTTATCTTAATTTGACAGTGAGGGGAGCTAAGTGTAATTTTATACATTTAAACAGAAGACTGGCAGAGAAAAAAAACAAAAAAAAAAAAACAAAGACTAAACACACCTTTGCATTTGTTTGTAGTTTTGTCCAGGATGGCTTTTGTTGATACTATTTTTCCATACCTAAAGAAGGAGGAATAGAGAGAAGATCTTCCGTTAGCAGGCCTATGCACCAGATGCAGACAGTTATATAAAACTCACACAGAGGGAGGATTGAGCAACAATCCATAACATCACTGCAAAAATATGAGAAACAGGAAGTGGTTTCCATGTGGTGCTGAAAACCCCAGTATGTGTGCAAAACACTAATCTCAAGTTGTCCCTTTTTTCTCAAGCCAAACTACACAGATCCTATCAACTTTTATCACACAAAACCTCTATCAGTCAGAACTGGCTTACCATGGTAAAATCTTACTACAGCCCCCACACTTTAAGGTTACTAGAAACTATTTTATATTGCAGTCTCAAAAGGGTTACTTACTGCACGTAGAACAAAGGAAAGCATTGATAACATCTAAAGGAGCAGCAATGCCATTTTTAACTATTCTTTGTGCATAATGCAGCAACTGGTTAGCATTTCTTTTAATTTTACTCATTTAAGTAATACTTTTAAAATTTACTTTGTACAATGACATCATTTCTGAGATAACAGTATTTAAAAAGGCTGTAATCTGAATAGAAAATGCACATTTTTAACGCATATTGTCATGTCAAAACAGGATCATGGCAATCTAAAGGGAGTCTGTTGTGTTTTAAAACAGCTGCAGCTGCTGCAGACACATACCACTATGCACTGTGCCAATCAGTCAGAGGAACACTTTAGCTAAGGATTAAGGTGGATACTGAACCAGGTGAAAAGGCTTGAACTGCTGACCTTCCTTTTATTTCTAAATTCTCATCTTGAACAATCAACAGGTGCAATGTTTACACTAAATGTGCCTCAAACAGAGCACTGCAATACATTTACTTCTAGAGCATATACCTCTTTGGGGGCTTTGTATCTACCAGTTTAAAAAGTTACCCAAAAAAATCCTGAAAATAAAAAACACACTCTTTTTCAAGGTGCGTTTTGAGGTCTTCTTAAATTCAAGTCATAAAACAGAGTCTAGTGGCACATCAGAGTTCTCTTGGATACAATACCCATATTTTGGTTTTGCAGACATCTCGGCACTGACATACCTCCTGCTACCTCTTCAGTTCCATCCAATATAATCTTTGCCATTTCCAAGCATTAAATGCGGCTCAAGGGCTATTAAAAAGAGAGCCTTTCAGATGTACCCCTGTTCCTCTTTGGTAGCAACCAGGCACTAAACAGAGGTAATTCAGTGGTGCATCAAAGTGCACTTAAGCAGCCAAACATTTTTTTAAGGTATGCAGGCCAGTTCAGGCGTCACTCATACATATGATTTCATTTCCTGTCAGCTTCCATTCAGTTCCATCGAACTTTGTCTGTTCCAGTTTTAGAACATCATTTAGACCTTACCACTAAAAAAAAACTAAAAAACACAACACTTTTGTTGGACACCCCAGATAATTTCTGATTAAACCAAACAGAGATGGTCGGTTTTGCAAGGGTGTGCACACAACCTTACACTGCTGTGAGTAAGCGAGGTGTGCTGTATATCCTGTTCCCACTTCTAGATTTTGTTCTGGCTTTTAGGTGCATTGGAGGCACATCAGCTTCAACATTATACCCAAATAACTGATCATCCATCTGATTTTAAAATGATTTCTGCTACAGAGTAGTCTGCCTTTAATTAGAAACAAATGTATGAACTTAGAAACAGTAATCCAATATTATAGATTTTGGCTCGGTTATTACAGCTCTATTGGTAAGGAAGGTGAACGGACATTATCAGAAAAATGTAACAAGAGTAAAACTTTTCAAAAAAAACAAAACACTTACAAAAAAGCTTATACATCAATCATTAAGCCTTTTCACTGTCTTGTATTTCTACCAGTTTTGTCAATAAGTGACAAGCACTGCAAACTCAAACTGGCCAAGGCAGAATAAAGAAATCAATAACTAATCAATGAGAGCTAACATGGAGAGGATGTGTGGTACTCACGGCTGACAGAGCTTGACCAGGTCATGGTCAGTGGTTGAAGGGGACAGACCTCGGATGTAGAGGTTCGTTTTACTCAGAGGTTCCCAGCCTCCTGAGCTGCTGCCGCTGTTGTTGGTGTTTGGGCTGGGTGGAGCCATCGGGTGGGATAACTGGGCAACAGGAGGCTGGCAAGTAGAAACATATAAAAACATCTTTATAATCAAAATACAACTAAGTAAAATTTTTAATGAACATGTACATCGTAACATTTTGATTTAAGATAAGAATCGAAATATAATATTGCTTGCTCACTGTTGCATATAATGAAATGATTAAGAAAAATATGCATCAAAAATCCAGATTAGCTTCTCTTCAGTGCAAAGGGATCTGAAAGCCCTGCAGCAATAGCTTAAAAGAGAACATTTTAAATATAGATATAAAAATACAGGGGTTAGCAACTATGGAGTTATAGCATGGAAGTTCAGCTCTATTTAGTGATTCTGATGCAGACAGCAGTATCGATCTTCCCTTTATAGCCAGTCCCACAGGTATATAGGGAACTCCTTCATACTTAGATGTGTTGCATTTGTTTCTCAAGGCATTATTTTTAAACTTAGCCTGCATTAAATTTAGCTAACAGTTTAAAGCTGAGATAAATGTATACAGATGTGTATAAAATACAACTTTTTCTGACTGTCTAACATAATATCATACTAAATTGTATCTCTTTTAGTCTAGATAGGATGGATTAAATGATTTATATTTACAAAATGGCAGAATTACTGAGTGTTATTACCTTGATAATGTCTTAAAAGTCAGAGCTTTTTAGTGGTAAAGATCTTATTATAATAACAAAAAAAAATCTTGAATGATGATTTCATGGCCTTTGTAAGCTTCACAATATTTGAGTGAAATGTAAAACTGGGCTTTTTTTGGGTTTGTTTTTTTCATTCCAAATTCAATCTAATATGGACAGAAAATACTTCCAAAAACTTGCTTTTATTTTAATCATCCTTGCATAGAGTTGACCTGAATTCCACTAAACACATACCGTGACACATGCTTTTTTTAAAAAGGAAAAGAAAATATGAGGTGCAAAATGTTTTCATAGAAAGGTATTAGAGGTATGTGCAAGTCTCTCAGTTATGAGTCAACATATCAGCACAAAAAGTGATGACATCACACTGTCCAAAGGTAGCAAAAGAGTCCATTGGTTTAAAAAAAGAAAAATTCAAAGACTGTACTGTTCATAAACAGCAAATTAAATTGATCACTCAGTCCTGGGTCACACACCTATGAATATGTTGAAAGGCAACATTTCAAATACAATACCGCCTTGTGTTACATCATCGAAGAAAATCCAAGAGATGTGTTTAGATAGCATCTGTTCATTTATACACGAGTCTGAAGAGCACGAGATCTTCCAGCCATAATGCTGCTCAAAAAGAAGACATCTTTTTTCTTCCTGAGATTAACATGTTTGGGTGGAAAAAAAAGAAGAAAAAAAACAGAAGAAAAGCTATATACCTAGTGAAATTTTTAGCAAAAACTGTTAAGTTTTGACATTGCATGAAGAGCCACTACTCCATTACTCCAAAAGCAAAGGAAAGAGTCCGACCACACTCAGAGATACACCTTTATCTTTGGAGACATGTCTTGTGGTTTGACGAAACGAAAATGGAAGTGTTTGGGCATAGTGACTATTAGTATCACGTAGTAGGGTTTTTTTTTTTATGGGTTGCAGGAGGAGCGACTGGTGTGCTTCCTAAAATAGCATCATGGGGAAAGAACATTATGAGGAAATACTAAAGCAACATCTTCAAGACATCAACCAGAGGATTAGAAGCAAGGGAAAGGAAACCTTAGAGCCGACTTACCTAACATGATTGGTAGGGTTTAAAAAGCAGTAATAATGAACACAAAGAAGCCTGAAACAAACTTCTGAATTTGAAGAAAGAAAAGGAACAATGCTGTAACCAATTCTGCCTATTATTCTGGCATTTACCGGAATTAGTCATTATAAAAACAGGAAATCTTTAGTCTCTTTTAATGTTACACAAGTAGAAGCAAAAGTCCATTGTGTTTTTTTTTATCCACGTATGTCCGGTTTCATATATCTTAAGATTTTTCTACATTTCAGCAATGCATTTTGGGTATTTATTCCATGTGGGTGAGAGAGAGCTGTAATTGTGCAACTTTGTGCTTTCTGTTTAACAAACCCAGATGTCCTGGTCTGGTGGAACTTTTCCCCTTCAGGGATTTGTCCTCCTTCTTACTATCTGATACTGATTATCTCCAACCCACCCCCACTTCTCTGAGGAATCCTGAGCCGAGAGGAAGCTCATGGAATCCCAAGCATGAGGTGGTGACAGGATTGAGCAACCCAAGTCGGGACTACGGCCCAGAAGATCTTCTCTTGTGACCGAACGGTCAAGTGCCTCACATGCCTTTGAGCATGAAACAAGCCTGACCAACCGATGTCTTGTGATTGTCTCCAGCTGATTTTTAGCAATACTCAGGAATCTATAAATTCACTCAAATATAAATCATATAGATTTCAAAGTCATTGTATTAGTGTGCATCATGTGATATTGGAGTACAGATAAGAAAGGAAATGTGTAAAGGAATCCATTGAAGCAAAGACAAATGAACAAAATGTGTGGAAGTAAAAAGTTTTACAGGCAGGTCATAACAAATGCCAAAGTAGTTGAAAAAGAAGAACCAAAGAAACCTGAGCCTTATTTTTTCTCTCCCTCCAGCCTTTGGAATTACAACATCCCCTTTTTCCTGTGAAACTGCGAGGAAGTTTTTCTCTCTTTTTTGTTGTTGTTGTTTTAACACAGCTGGCAGAAAGCTCAGCAACAGCAGCAGCGCTGGAATAGTGGCGGTGGAGGGAGGGATAGGATGGCATCTTATCAGCCAGCACCAGACCAGCAGGGCCGTCATAGGCTCGCCGGAAATATACGCAGGGTTTCCAGTAACAGGCCTCGCCCATGAAGCTCCAGCCACAGGATAAAATACCATGAGCAATGCCGAGGAAATGCGTCCCATAAAAAAAATAAATAAATCTAAAAAAAAATCAACAAGAAACTGTAGAAAAAGAGTTTATCAGCTTTGCATGGTTGAATAATATAAACCCAAATGGAAATATCAGCATAATAATAATCATAATGTTTGATTTGCTCACTTAAAACATCTGGAAACAGCACATTTGAACGCAACTAAAACCCACTTTTAACACCAGCTACTTCAAAGTATCATTTCCTATATGTAATCTTGCTTTTTAAGGGTAGTTGGTTGTTAAAACGATACAAAACATAAGAACTAACTCTTAGTCTGAGACTGGTGTTTATGTAACAAAGTGTCCCGACTGTCTGAGTCCCGTATCCTGGACTAGAGCCAAATAAAATGAATATTTCTTATACGCAATTCAACTCAAATTATGATCAAGAAATTGACTTAAATGAACAAAGGTTCTCTAATGCAACTTTAAAGCTCTATATTATTGCACTAAAGTTGCGACCCCGATCTGCGACTTTATAGTCAGCTTAGAGGAGCTGGGAGTTCTTTTTTATTATTATTATTTTATTATAGTTTTTAAATATAGACTGAGGAGGTTTACCTGCTTGCGATACGGAGTCCTTAATGGGTTTCCTGTATTTGCAAAAATCATTCTCAATGTGAACAAAATGTTACTTTAACTTTAAGTCAGCAAAAAAAAAAAAATCATCAAATTTCGCTTGTGGGTTGAATATTAGTTGAGAAAAAAGGGCGACCTCTTTAGTCAGAGAAAGAAGACGGAAATAGCTTTTTGTCCATATTTGCTGTATCCATGTCCCGGGTTCAACTGTCCGGTTGTTATTAAAACCCCTCTGAAAATGATCCAAACTTCGGTCGACCGGTCCGCGTCCTGTTTGTCTCTCAGGCGGGTTCATTGATTTGCAGTCATCGCTGAGCGCTGGTCTGGGCCGACGGCTGCTACCGTGGGAGAAACCATTTCGGTTTTTGCTGTAGGGGGTGGGACGTTTTTCAAAGGTAGTCTAAACATATTAACTAATCTTCTATATGATGCGTCCACATTATGAGGTTAGTTTTGATGTCACGCAGAAAATAAAGAATCAAAATATAATAGCTTACTTTCTGTTTTTGCTAAAACATTTTACAAGAAGCAACGCTTCTACCTCTGCTGTTTGTTTATTCATACCAAACGTTCCACTATACTCCTCCATTGATTTTTTTTCATTTGTATTTCTTTTTATAAGTAATGAACACCTGGCAGCTAATGTTTTCGTTGATCTTCTAAAAGTTCATAATTTTTGTTTTATGCTAATATACACCACAAGTCTACTTAACGCACTAGAGGAAATGGCAGACATTATTTTTATCCCAAAATTTTTAAAACAAACGCGCATTGATCCCAATCCATTTTAAACCGATCAAATCTATTTCAGCCTGGTTTATCCCAATAAATGTACATTCAACAGCTGTATTAACCCATTATGGGGCAAGATACCATTTTTGATCACTTGCATACCCCTTACAAATGGATTCCCCCCCATCCCTCAGTGAGGTCTAGAAGCACAAGATCTATACTGCTACATGGCTGTACATCTTATTTTGGCATTTGATCAATTAGATGAGCCCTTGAATGATATATTACCTACTGCAAATTAAGTTGGAAAAAAATGAAAAAAAGATAAAAAGCTAATTGAAAGGTAAAGTTAAAAAGTTAATAAGCCTGGTTAACAATTATATTTAGGTTTATAAAGTAAAAAATGTAAGTGCCATTACCAGCATTAATACCTCTAAGGTTATGTCGTACCAAAAAAAAAATATTTTACTCTCAGAGTGTTTTTCATGAATTTCTTATAGAAGCACTTTTGTTATTTTTCTTAATATATTCGGGCAAGTTGGCGTTCCTTATTATTACATTGACATTCATTTTTTGCCATCAAAATATACATATTTTTTGAATGTTACAAAGGTAATACAATCTTTTCCTGGATTCCAATAACACTATTGGCTTGAAGTTTTGATTTTCAAAGTATTTCACTGAGTGCCCTATTAAGGGTTAAGGTTAAGAAAATCAATGACCAAAGTTAGTTTATTCATAAATGGTTACAGTTAATTATTCGTGCGATGCAAACGAGTAAAAAAAACAGGTTCAGACACTCAGTCCAATACACTCTGTCTAATTCAGTACAACGTATTATACAGTGTGGTCAATTGCATGAAAATTATGTGTTGATAAAAAGTTTGTAAAAATAATTTAGAAAATGAACAAAGAAATAAGAAAAGCAAACAAAAAGTGTTTCAAAGTTTATTTAGAAGGCTTGATTGTTTCAATCAAGTCTTCTTCACTAAACTGGAGCTATTCTTAAAACCCAGCATAGCATAAGGAACTTTTTTATTGATTTCATCATTATGGAGTTTTTATAAGGATTGAGTGCCTCATTATTACTAAAGATCATAGCAGCAAATCTTTATTTTTTTTGTGTGTGTGTGTCAACACTTTATGCAATTAATTATATCCTAAGCATTGTGCTTGGAATTCAGAGGTTCTGAGTACAAGCCCCACTCCCACTCTGGGTCCCTGAGCAAGACCCCTAACCCCACACTTTTCCCCGGGCGCCGCGCAATTGGCAGCCCACTGCTCCGCAAGGGGATGGGTTGAATGCAGAGGTGAATTTCTCCAGTGTAAGATCAATAAAGTTCAATTAAATTAAAGCCTCTGTCACACCTTGACGATTTAGCCAGCATATGCCTGGCAAAAACACTGGCATATGTTGGATAAATTATGGGTCAGTTTTGTATAAGTTATAAGCATGCTGCAGCACGCTGGCATATGTCGAAATACAGCGAGTACATAAAGAAATTTTGAGCCAGCGTATACTCATACATGGGCCATTAGTTACAGGTAAGTTATGTGATCGCTGACATATGTTAATTTTAAGTTACTTATAAGTTGTGCCGTCTAGTTTATCCAAAACCTTTGAGAAACTTGTGCATAACTTATGCGTAACTTATCAAGAACTTATCTCCAATGCAATGCAAATATCCAAGTATTTGATGTGTTCCAGATGACTGCTAAACATGTTTGTAACTTACAGCTACTGTATAATGGCATATTGGCAGTGTTTTGGTATGAAAGGGGGTTCACAGGAGGAAACCTTTTGTTCTCCTCCAGACTTCAGGCTGGTTTATACTCACAAACCAGGTCGTCTGCATGTGTATCGCAGTCAATGCAGATACGCCCCCGCCCCTTCCGCAGACATTCTGGTGCACCTCTTCAAAATTGTAGGTGACTGCAGACAGTGCCTCAGATTGGAGGCCTCTGATTGGTCAAATCTATATCCACTCTACACTATGCATATTTCCTGTTTGGTACCTTACCGGTTTGTTTTGTTTGTATAACTGCCACTGTGGAAAACGACTTGTGAAGTTGGACCAGCTAGAAGAACGAGGTGTGCAAATCGCTGGGATCCTTTTTCCACCTGGATTCCCACTCTTTTTCGCTCGCATGTCCTTCCGTTGTCACGCAAACTTGCCCCTTGCCTTTTTCCACTTCCTCTCTGCCTTGGCCGTATGCAGACCCACAGCTAGTTCGTGATTGTCCCTCTTGCGTTGTGGCGTGGAATAACATAGCACAGACCATGCTTCAAAATTGGGCATACATCAAAAATAAATCTGTCATGCCTGTGACAAGCTCACTGCGACATACTGTTGTGGGAGTATAACCAGCCCTGAGTATCATAGGGTGAGCGAGAAGGTGAGTGTAATGGATGCTCACTGCGTTCAGGGCCACGAAAAACAAATTTTCTAGCAGACATAATGCTGAATCTGCTGAACCTTCTTTCTTTTTCCTTTTGATTCCTTTTTGTTCTTTTTTTTTTGGCTTGCGGTAAATAGCAGCTAGCGCATTGCTGACTCCCCTCAGGACACTGGCTTGTGACATTTCATGGGCATTACGCTGCCATGCATTATGCATAAATTAGGCTGAAGTTGGACATAAGTTCTGGACCCGTTATGAATGCTCTATGTATACTCCCAAAAGTGAAAAAAATACATAGAAAGTTCAGCGTATGTCAGAGTTTTAGAAGGTTCTGGGAGGTCAGGCATACACTGGCAGAATAATCAAGGTGTGACAGAGGCTTAAGGCAGAAACCAGACTGTTAGATCTATTACCTATGATCTATGTCTACCCTAGGTAATCCGCAACTATGTTCCAGTTGTTTTTCAATTACCAATGACTCCAATGTTGCTTCAGTTGGCCAGACTTTAACCTTGACTTCCTCATCACTTGGGTGGAGACAAAAATATGCCTTTAACAGCTGAACCCCTGGAAACAGACACTTATCAGGCTAAAACCATAGAGGAAATTGGTAAAAATGTTACATTTCCTTTTTTTTTTTGCTGTACGCAAAAAATTTTTTGGAAGAGGTGACTTCTTTTGAGAGCATCCATCATAACCTTATTGATAGAAGTGATGGCCGTAGAAGAAAAACAGGTTAATATAGGTGTTTCCTTTTCAAAGAAGGCAAATGGGCGGGTAATAGGGTACATATGAACACTTCCACAATAGGAGGTCATCTTTCTCTTGGCTTCAAAGAGATTCAAAGAACTTTATTTGTCACCTAGCCTGGAGAAGTAGGGCAAAAATAAGTTTCGGTATTGCCCATCCAATAAAGAACAAAACACACAGAACACAGACATGTGGGGATAAAGTGTCCAAGGGCCCAAATCAGTTTCTTTAACCCCTTGAACACAAGGGTACCCTAATTTTGGAAAATAATATTCCTTGGTTCTTAAACAACAACCAAGTTATGCATGAGGCACATTCATATACAAGGAAAAACAAGGCTCTGCTAAATGATGGACACAACATTAACCACCCAACAACAACCAAGACTTAGCTAACTGCAGTGTTTGTAGCTGAGCGCAAACACTCTATGGTCTGATAAAAGCGCAGAATACAGAATAAAAGAAAAAAATGAAAGAAACTTTAAATTGCTCACATGGCAAGGCAAGGCAATTTTATTTGTATTGCACAATTCAGTACATGGATAATTCAAAGTTCTTTACATGAATTAGATAATGAAATAGAAGAAAAATAAAAGCTGAATAAAAACAAATAAATCAATTCTACATCAATTCTACATGAGCAATTGCTCGGGTCCTGAATTATGGTTTTCTGGATAATAAGCATTGCAACCGCATATTTTCAAGAAATATTCACTTCACAAAGTGCATTTTTAATGGAATTTTTAGTAGTAATTTTCTCTGTATTTCATATTGATTGACTCTGACTCAGCAAGTGTGGGGTTTTAGATGTCTGAGGTATTCCCTGGAGTTTTAATTTAATTTAAGTACCAGAACAATTGTAATAAACCCTGTAGTTCCCATGCTAAGATTTAGAGAATTCTTTTTGGGCTTGTAATTTTTAAGAAGATTTAATAAAAGGATGCTTTGGGAACAAGAGGTTAATCTTCCTGATTTCAAATTAGGTCCGTTTTTGAGTGTTATTATGTGCTTGCTGTTCTGTTTCACTGCTAAACCAATTAAATACAATATATATTGTCTGTAGAAAAGAGTCACAGAAAAAATCCTCAGGAGTCGATAATGACATCAGTGTCTGTTTAATGAACACCTTAGGCCACTTTCTACGTGTTAAGTCAACCTAAAGGAAGCAAAAGGTCATGAAGAGAAGTTAATCAGGCCAACCGGAGTCATTAGGTCGGCGTTAGCGGAAAGGGAGTGAGCTCTGATTCAGCACTCTGTCCAGGATGCAGGGGGCTGGGCTGGCAGGGGGTTTGGTGAAGACAGAGAGGTGATTGAACCACCATTTATGAAAGCGTGAAAGAAAAGGTTATCTCAAACAGGCATTTGTAGCTCTATAGTATACCCTACCTTAAAAGAAAACATCCCAAGCTGACCACTTTAACAGATGTACTAAAGTTGTGGATAGTGGAATACTTTACCA